TATATAATCAACATGTGATACAAATGACGTCAAGCTAAGAAAGAAGGACTCGACATAGAAGGTGTTGACGAAACTAGGAGGGTGCTAACCTCAGCAATGTCATCTTTAGGTGTGCGAACCTTAGGAACATGTACGTCTTCTTATTTTCTGTGCTTGGATCTTTAACATAATAATCTCCGGGTGTTCCATGTTCAGTAAACGATCTCAGCTGCTGTATTTTGGGAGATAATTGCGATGATTCCATCTTTCTTACGGTAGGGTACCCTTAGGGATGTGAATGTGAATACATATTACCATTGATTCCATCGTCTTAATCTAAAACATCTGCTTATATTGTTTCTATTTTAAGCAACAAGTGTTATTTTTTTAATATGTTTGCATGTGCTTATATTCATTCATCACTGGTTGTTTTTTTCGACAGGTTTTGGCGCGCATACGTCACTAAGCTGAATTAGTCGGTGACTGCCCTGCATTTTGCCGCCTTTGTAAAAACAGACTAACATACACTCATCTAGCTCAATAAGCAATGATGCTTTGTTTAAACGTTGTCTGAGTATATTAAATATTTAACAAAGTATTTTATTTTTCTGTTATGTTGCTTGTAGACTAAGTGATTCTGGGAGTGCGTTTGTGGAGGCGCAAAGCACACTCGTTGAGAAACCAGCTGCCGAGAACTTCGTCAAACTTTCAGCGCGTGTTGCCGCAAAATTTATCAGTCATTTATTTATATTAATTGAGTTTCCTTGGTGAGCATGCACTTCACCTGTCAGTATAGCTTACTTCTTTTCTCTTGCATTGAAATTAATGGCTGGTGACGTTTGCATGTACAGCTTGCTCTGGTCAGATACACGCGACATCGGGTAGAAGAAGTTGCAGGTGCACTTGCTGGGACGTTTGAACTCCAGGCCCCGGAGTAGATGACGTGCTGTAGTTCTGAACGTTTTGATATCATAACAGACACTTGTCGTATTAAGATACGCAAATTTATCCATCCTTTGTTCAATATTGGTTGATTGTTAATAGAGTGTTTTAGGCACTTCATTACTAGCTAATCAAATGCGATTTAGGACAATGTGACGCTCGTCGGACCGCATCCCACCGCATTCGTAAGACTATATATACATGGCAAATCACAACAAGTGTTAAGTTAACATTTATTGTGTAGACGTACACACACGAAAGTTTACACCATGGCTCAATCTCCTCTGCCACCTAATTTCATTACGGCTGAGCTACTGCGAAACGCGCTATACGGTAAATGGTGCAACGTCATCGGGGAGACCGTCACCCACCAAACAAAACACAGTGCCAAAGAACTGGTCGAGAAAAAGAAAGGTAAAGCTATCTTTTCAAATTAAAATCACAATATTTGTACTATACACAACATATATTATGTATTGTATACAAATTATAGTGTAAACTTTTGAAATATAAGCGTAAAAGTAGGATTTCCGTACTCTGCGTTTTCGACAAACCGTTCGGCATTTGTCGAAATTTGTCGAAATCCCAGGCGCTATCATTCAGCACTACGCATGTGCCGTGCATACGACGCCAACGGTTCAAAAGTACACTTTAAAACGTTCGACGCAGCAAGTGTTATGTCCACGTAATATAAATGTTTACTATAGGTTACATCTAATTAGTTTAAATACCATTACTTTAAAATACAATCATGTAGTGTTATTTAAATACACATTCCACATTAGAGCAACATTCAGCGAACTGAAACAAAACGAGATAATATTAAACACAAAGATAATATTGAATAGTAATTTCAATGTCGAGAGGCCAATAGACCTACTTTGAAGCTATTGAATATAGATAAATGACTAGGAAAACAATAAACAAACACTAAGTTAAGTTTACATAGCATAACTTAAGTGTGTTTAGAACTCAAAGACGGTTGTACCATTAGCGGGCGAACAGATAGTAAAGTAAGAAACGAATTTAAATTATTTTTTCAACTTCAGGAAACAAGTTTATATTTTATATTAGTGTTTTAACATTAAACAGACTGAAATCGCGGATCATAACCATCTACATTCAAAACAAAGGCAAAGAAGAGTACTGATAAAATAATAGTCAAATAACAAACGGTAGAAATAAGCACAAAAAAGAGGTTGTAGTGGTTTAAAACACATATGAATATTAAGAATGACGACTTACATCATGGTTTGTCTAATACTGTATTAATAAAGTATGTGTCGTTTGACAAATACTTGAAGTGATGTAGACATTAATTGATCACTTTATCAAGGCGGTACTAAATCATGCGGCTCATGAACTTATTGTTTTGAAACCTACACACTGATTGGCTGTACAGGCAAGCGTGCACTAACGCGACGCACATCACGTCATTACCATTCCCTTGCATCAGCACCTTTATTATTATTATTATTATTATTATTATTATTATTATTATTATTATTATTATTATTATTATTATTATTATTATTATTAATATTATTATTATTATTATTAGTGCTTGGTATCTAAAACGTTTTGCTTGTTTTGCTTGATGCACTTATTTTTAATGTATAATATTGTTAATTGATCTGGTTGTTGTGTTTTAGAAGATCATAATTTATTTATAACACCAATAAAATTATAGAATTTATGTAGCTAACTGTATACTGCAATACCTGTTATGACCAATTATATCAATATTGGTAACTAACTGTTTAAGCCAGTCTCTAGGTGTACCTTTGCTTATCAATCATATTAATCATATTGTTTGTAGTAGAAAATACAGTATACAGAAATTAATTATTTAATTAAGTTATTGTGTAAGGTACCGTAGCACAATATAGTGACATCACCATGATTAGGTTTGTATATTATCCACACTAGTTTTATTTAATTTTCATCATATCGCAAATTAAATAATCCTAGCTCTCTTCCAGATTCAACAATCAACAATCATTCTCCCAGGACCCAAATCCATATTAAATTCGACCACCCTGACAGGAAAATAGTTATGGAGAATATGCCTAGGGCCCTGAGAGCGCTGAACTTACTATGAACGTTTCGTACTAAAGAGAAGCTGAATTTATCTGGGGTGGGAAGGGGGTGCATTTTTCTTGACATATGTGGATGTCATATCACTATTTTTTTTACCTCAAGTGAGATACTTTTTCATTCTTTAGGGGTGAATCAAAATGTTTTCTACTCTATAGTGGAGGTGGGCTCAGAGCTCCGGCGTTTTCCATATTAATCACTTATCTAAACGATCTCACGTGAAGTCCGAGATTATTTGTTTTACGGTTACTAGGGTTGGGGGGGGGAGGCCGGGGTTGGGTTGGGATAAACAGGTAGGACGAGACTCTTTTCACTAGATCTGCGTCCTATTATATA